GTTTCAATCAATTTTGCTATTTTAGCATGTCACTAATAGCCATTATGATTCGACAGTGCAGAGCATGTATAAAAAAAATGATCAATTGAACTAGAACAGATAGATTCAAAAAAAAAAGACGATTAATTTAATAATAATGTAATTTGTATACACAACTTGAGTATTACACTAACTTCATACGTATTGAGTGTAATTGTGTATACAAAGTTAAACACATACTCAATCACCTCTATAAGAGGATGAGGGATTGAATAAATAACTATTAAATAGTTAATAATGTTTGGATATTGTGAGTATTAGTATAGTCATATAAATAGTGAATTTTTGTATGGGACTTATAAAACCTTAAAGATATATATAAGTTCTTCATACCCATAGGTCTCACCAACTATTAGTCGTATAAATATATATGTTTAATTGGAGTTGGATTCGCTTGGGTCTGTTCCACCGTATGCAAAATGCAAAATGTAGGTTTTGAATCGTGGATCACCATATGGACCACCCGACTTGATCCAAAGTTACTTTCTGAAAAAACAAGATAAGAACAATTTTAAAAAGGGATGGAAATAGTTACGGACTAACTGCTCCACCGTAAATAAGCTCCTTTTTAAATAAGTGTTTTTGCACTCCTCAGAGAAAAACGAAAACAAGAAGCTAAAAAATACAAAATAAAAAATCATTGTCTTCGAGACATCCAACAAAAGAACATTTAGTTTGTGAAAAATTATCTGTTAAGATAGCTTATAAACTAAACATGTATTCTTTTAATATTTCAGTTTGTTAGTTAGTTAGTTAGGTAATTAATTAGTTGGTTAAATACAGGTTAGTTAAGGTAGTTTCTTTAATACATAAATGTAATTGTATATATAAGTAAGAGGGCTCATATGTACAGATACACACAGAAATATACAAAGCTTTTTTCTTCATCATTCTCTCATCTCTTCTCTCGTCTTCTTCATCTTCTTAAAGCTCATTGATAGAGCTTTTCTTCACATGGTATCAGAGCTCAGGAGAATTTGAAACTCTCTGTTAAGCTCTTCATAATCTGAAGGCAAGAGTCTAAAGAATCTTGAATTGAAGATCAATTGTCTGTCTAAATCAAGAAATTGGGAGCTGTTAAACTCGATCAATCATGCCTTCAACTGGAGATGGAGCTTCGAGTGAAGTTCAACAACAAACAGTTACGAACACAGCCAAAATCGATCACAATCACCCTCTCTTTATACATCCTTCAGATACTCAAGGTTCTGTTCTAATTTCAATTCAATTAGTGGGTTCTGAAAACCTATTCTTTGTGGAGTAAATCTTTAAAACTTGTGTTACTTGGAAAAAACAAGTTAGGATTTCTACTTGGAACATGTAAAAAGGAAATGTATTCTGAATGCTTACATGATGTATGGGATAGATGCAATGCAATTGTTCTTGGGTGGATTATGAATACAGTGTCTAAAAGTCTGATTAGTACTGTAATCTATGGATCTGATGCTCATTCAGTGTGGGAAGATCTACGTGAAAGATTTGATAAAGTAAATGCATCTAGGGCCTTTTATCTACACAAGGAATTAGTCACTATGTCACAAGGAACTTCTTCTGTGTCAATCTATTTTTCGAGACTAAGAGAGTTGTGGGATGAGGCTGAAACTTTGATTCCCTGTCCTTCATGTGCTTGTCCTGAGTCTAAACAATACATAGAGCATTTGCAATTTCAAAAGCTGTGGCAATTTCTGATGGGACTTAATGAGTCTTATGCTCATGCAAGAAGCCAAGTTCTTATGCAGATTCCAGTTCCAAGTGTAAATCAGGCTTATGCTATGATTGTTAGTGTTGAGAGTCAAAGAGTTCATGGTACAGGAAATACATTCTCGTCTGCTGAAGCTGTGTCTGAAACAGCATTGATGAGTAATAGAATGCCTCTTAGTTCTTCTAGTTCAGGGAATGGTGGATACTATAACAATAATACAACTTCCTCAGGAACAGGAAGAGGTGTTTCTAACTTCCAAAATAGTGGATACAGAAATAAGGGATATGGAGATGCTAGAACTAGCTACACTACAGGAAAGTCTCAGCTCTATTGTGAATTTTGTCATTTTAAAGGTCATACAAAAGAAACCTGTTATAAGCTTCATGGTTATCCAAAGAAGAAAGGAGGAGTATCTTCTTATGCAAATAATGCTTCTACTGGAAATGAGTCTGGAATAATTGACTCAACTTCAAGTTCTAATACTAGAACAAATGAGTCATCTAATGATACTTCTTTGGGACAAGGTGTATCAATGTTTACTCAAGAACAATATTATGAGATCTTGCAGATGCTGAGAAAAGGGAAGAGTAAGGAAGTGGATACAATGGCCAATGTAGCTACTGCAGGTGTATCTGGAACATCAGGTAATTTTACAGCTCTAATGTTTGATATCTCACATACTAACTGGATTATAGATACTGGTGCCTCTAATCATATGGTTCACAACTTTGGTTTAATGAGTCAGCCAACAAATCTTGATGTTCAGGGTGGTATGAGAGTTAATCTACCTACTGGTGATTTGGTGTCTATTAGTCACATTGGTGAATCTTTGGTTCTTAAGGACAAAGTAGTAAAGGATGTGTTATTTGTTCCAGAATTCAAGTATAATCTTTTATCAGTGTCACAACTAACTAAACTGTTGAAGTGTGCAGTAGTATTTTTTCCTGATTTTTGTATTTTTCAGGATCTCTTCAATGGGAGGGTCCTGGGGATTGGTAAAGAGAATCAAGGATTGTATATCCTCAATACTCCTGTCACAACAAAGCCTTCAAATGATCAAGTATCTTCTGGAGAATGTGCAAAGGAAGCTGCATATAAAAGAATTAGGCCTATTAGTTTTAGTTCTACTGCTGATTCTTTAAGTAGTCTATGGCATAAAAGACTTGGACATGCTCCTCTCAAAGTATTAAGTAGAATAAAGGAATTGAACATTGTATCTGTACATGAGCATCATTGTTCTATATGTCCAATTGCTAAGCAATCAAGACTGCCTTTTACTACTAGTCTTTCTCATTCAGTTTCAGTTTTTGACATTATACATGGTGATGTATGGGGACCTTACAAAGTGCCTAATCATGATGGAAAAAGATATTTTTTAACACTAGTGGATGATATGTCCAGGTATACTTGGATCCTTCTATTACACACTAAGTCAGACACTGTGGTAGTGTTAAAAGACTTTGTAAACCTGGTAAGAAATCAGTTTGGTGTAGGCATTAAGTGTATAAGAACAGACAATGGAACAGAGTTTGTTAATAATCAAATGGATGATCTATTCAAGGCTAATGGCATTGTACATCAGAGTTCATGTGTGTATACTCCTCAACAGAATGGAGTAGTTGAGAGAAAACATAGGTCTATTCTAAACATGGCAAGAGCACTAAGGTTTCAGGCTGGTGTACCTTTACAGTTTTGGGGACTTTGTGTTACTACTGCTGTGTACATACTAAATAGATTACCTACTGTGTTGTTACAAGGACAGAGTGCTTTTGAAAAATTGTTTGGCCAAGTTCCTAGTCTTCAGCATCTTAGAGTATTTGGGAGTCTATGCTATGCTACAGATCCTAAGATTCTAGACAAATTTGCACCTAGAGTTGTTCCAGCTGTGCATATGGGGTACTCAATGAACAAGAAAGGTTATATCTTGTATGATTTGACTTGCAAATCCTTCTTTATAAGCAGAGAATCTGTGTTTAAAGAAGACATATTTCCTTTCAAGAATCTTAAATCCTTTCCAGACCACTTATTTCCTGTTCTGGATCTTCATGATAGTTCATATATTGAGTCAACTTCTGATAATGCCTCTATTCAAGGTTTTAATCCTACAATTTCTATACAGCCTCAGACTTCTTCTAATACTACAGCACCATTAGTTCCTCTAAGAAGATCTTCTAGACAATCTAAGCCACCTATTTGGTTGGACTCATATGTGACTCAAAATGCACAAAATGCATGTCTATATCCTATGTCACAATATGTTACTTATTCCAAACTTGCTCCTACATATAGAGAATCACTTGCTACATACTCTACTATCTCTGAACCTCATACATATAAAGAGGCATGTCAAGATACTCATTGGGTGAATGCTATGAGAGATGAGATTAATGCTCTAGAAGCCAACAATACTTGGTCTATTGTTCCTCTACCTCCAACAAAAGTTCCTATTGGCTGTAAGTGGGTGTTTAAAGTTAAGTATAAAGCATCTGGAGAAGTTGAGAGATATAAAGCCAGGTTAGTGGCAAAAGGATACAATCAAAAGGAAGGCTTAGACTATACTGAGACATACTACACCAGTAGCAAAAATGGTTACAGTAAGATCAGTAGTGGCTTTAGCTGCTTCATATGGATGGTTTATATTTCAAATGGATGTACACAATGCTTTTCTTCAAGGAGATCTTCCTGAAGAAGTGTATATGCAGATTCCTGAAGGTTTTGCAAACCAGGGGGAGAAAAGCATGGTTTGCAAGCTTCATAAGTCCTTGTATGGACTGAAGCAGGCACCAAGACAGTGGAACTTAAAGCTAACAGAGGCTTTAGTTGATATGGGATTTTCACAGTCACATTATGATTATTCACTATTTACTAAGAACATAGGTAAAGAACTTCTAGTTATCTTGGTATATGTTGATGATCTCTTGGTTACTGGGAGCAGTTTGCATTATATACAACAAATAAGAGAGGAGTTACAACAAAGGTTTAGAATGAAAGATCTAGGTGAGCTTAAATATTTTCTTGGAATTGAATTCTCCAGGTCTAAAGAAGGTATACTAATGAATCAAAGGAAGTATGCTTTAGGACTTGTGTCTGAGTTGGGATTAGCAGGTTGTAAACCTTCTTCTACACCCTTGGAGTTCAATCACAAGCTAACTTCCACTGTGTTTGATGAATTCATTGGAAAAATGCTAATGCAGAAGACTCACTTCTTGATGACTTTGGAAAATATCAAAGGCTGATAGGGAAGTTATTATACTTAACTATGACTAGGCCTGATATAGCCTTTGTAGTACAAGTACTCAGTCAATATATGCACTCACCAAAGTCATCTCATATGGAAGCAGCACTAAGAGTAGTTAAATATATAAAAGGAACTGCAGGTCTTGGATTGTTTATGCCAAGTAACAAAGACAATGAAATGGTAGCCTATTGTGACTCAGACTGGGGGAGTCTTGGTGTAGAAACAAGAAGATCAGTTACAGGCTATATGATTAAACTAGGAGGAGCACTGGTATCCTGGAAGTCAAAGAAACAAAACACAGTATCTAGGAGCTCTGCAGAAGCAGAATTCAGAAGTATGGCTACTACAGTTGCTGAAATAGTGTGGTTGAAAGGCTTATTCAGTGAGTTAGGAATGGAAATAAAGGTGCCAGTAAAGGTATTTGTGATAACAAAGCTGCTATCCAAATAGCAGCACATCCATTTTTCATGAAAGAACTAAACATTTTAGACATAGATTGTCATTTTGTAAGAGAGAAGATACTTGAAGGGCTTATTCAGACACAACACTTAGGAACAAGAGATCAACAAGCTGATATACTCACCAAAGGGCTGTGCAAACCTCAACATGAAGAACTGATTAACAAGCTAGGAATGAAAAATGTATTTTCCAATTCTTAGCTTGAGGGGGAGTTTCTAGCCCATTATCTGTTCTAATGTTTTTAAGAGTGGTACTAAACTGATTCTCTATCATGACTATAAAATTTTTCAAAACTTGTAGAGCATTGCTCTTAGTACTCAAGAGGTGTGTCCAAGTTGATCTGCTATAATCATCTACCAAAGTAATGAAATACTTGTAGTTGTCATAAGTGGATACATGATAGGGTCCCCATAAGTCAACATGTAGCAGTTCAAAAATAGATTTGGTTTGGCTTGTGCTATGACTAAAAGGTAGCCTTTGTTGTCTTGACATAGGACAAATATTGCAGCAGAAAGGTTGTTTGGAAGAAAAATTGACTGGTAATCCATTGACTGGTAATCCAATGATATTTTTCATCTTAACAAAAGGTACATGGCCAAGTCTACTGTGCCATAACAAGTCTACATTATCTCCAGAGTTGTGATCAGCCATAACATGACTAAAAGAATTGAAAGGAACAGAATTAGAAGTTAACACTTTGTATTGATCAGGAGAATAGGATTTAGCAGGAAAAGAATTACATGTTTCACCTCTAATGGAACTAGAAAAAGGACTACTATTTGGAAAACAACAACATATTTGGCATGTATTGACTCTTTCAGATGTCTTCAAGCATTTTGTGCATAAGAAGTAAAGCCCATCTTTTCAATTACCAAGAACCTGTGGCCTCTTCACTAAAGGGGCCTGCAATAGACACAATGCATTAGTGAACATGACTATGCATTTCATTGTATTAGTTAGTGAATGGACTGAGGCTAGATTGTACTTGAAAGAAGGCACATATAAGACTTGATGTAAAGTAATATTAGATGTGACTGGTACATCTCCAAACTCTGTTACTTTGACTTTGTATCCATTTGGAAGAGAAACTAGTATAGGAGTAGGCAAAGTTTTGATATTGGTTAGAGAATTCTTATTAAAAGTTATGTGGTTTGATGCTCCTGAATCAATGATCCACAAGTTAGCACTTGACTCAAAACATTTGCATGATAGATTGTCAAAAACAATAGAGGAAGAGCAAACCACAATACCTGCAAAGTTCATTGATCCAGCAGCCAGACCAGAAGTATTATTGACAGCAGTATCTTCTCCCACATTCTCATTTTTGAAATGCTGCAGCAGATTCATGATCTGTCCATATTGTTCCTTCGTAAAGTTAACACTCTTTAACACATCACCTTGAGATTGTGATTGTTCTTCTCCATTTGCAGATACCACATCACCAACAGAACCATGTACATTTGCTACCACTCTCCTTCCTTTGTAGCTTGAGCCTTGTTGTCTAAAATTCTGGCCACCATTGTAACTTCCTGATCTATTATTTTGGTTGTTATTGTTTTGGGGATATCCATGCAACTTATAACATTTATCCTTGATGTGTCCAGCCCTTTTACAATAGTCACACACTATGACATTCCTGTTAGTGTTGTTACTTTGATAGTGATTTCCTCCTGAACTACTGTTAGTATCACCATAGTTTCCATAGCTATTTCCATAGCTATTTCCTTGAAAATTTGTTCTAAAAGGTCTTCCTCCATGTCCTTTGTTATCAACAGCTTTAACATTCAAAGATACAGAATCTGTAGACATTCTACCAATAGGTTTGAATTCTCTTTGTTTTTCCTCTTGGATTAACAATGAGAAAGCCTGTCCCATAGAAGGAAGAGGATTCATCATGAGAATGTTTCCTCTTATCACTGTGTACACTTCATTTAACACCATAAGAAAATGAATTAGGCG